TTCCATCTTCTTCTATTTTCTGAAATAATTTATGTAGAATTGGTAACAGTTCTTCTCTGAATGTCTGGTAAAATTCACTTGTAAAACCATCTGGTCCAGGGCTTTTTTTGGTTGGAAGTTGTTGTATAAGAAGCCAAATCAAAGGGAAAGCTTGCTAAAGTAAAAGAGCTGAACAGATTTCAAAGGGCACCTTGAGAAGACAAAGCAAAGTATTATTATGGTGTGTATAGAGCATTAGAATTAGAGAATAAAATGGGAAGGATGTTCTCTGCTTTCCTTGAGGTGAGAGAACTAAAAAACAAATTTAAGCCTTGATTCACAGTGTTAAAAGATACTAAGGGCAATATGTTGAATAATCCAGCAAGCACCAAAAGAAGACGGAGGGAATATACAGAATCCTGTACCAAAAGGATTGACCCTGAAGAATTTCAGGAAATACTATATGAGCAGAAACTAATGAACAAGGAAGTTAAAGCTGCATTGAAGGTATTGGGGGAAAAACCCCAAAACGGCCCCAGGAATCGATGGGATATCAATTGACTTGTTTAAGTTAACAGATGCAGCTGTAGCCATACTCTCTAGTTTATGGCAGGGAATTTGAAGGACAACTGTCAGGGCAATGAATTGAAAGAGGTCTGTCTTTCTGCCCATTCCCAAGAAAGGTGACCCAACAGAGTGTGGAGACTGTTGAATAATATAATTAATATCACATGCAAGCAAAATACCACTGAAGATCATTAAATAATGGGTAGAGTAGGCCATAGATAGGGAACTGCCAGAAGTCCAAGCAGGATTTAGAAGAGGCCATACCACCAAGGCTATCATTGCTGATGTCAGATGGATCATGGCTGAAAGTAAAGAATACCAGAAGAATGTCTATTTATACTTTATTGACTATGCAAAGGCATTTGACTGTGTGGATCATAACAAGTTATAACTAACATTAAAAAGGATGGAAATTCCAGAGCACTTAATTGTGCTTATGCAAAACCTGTACCTAGAAAAAGAGAAAGGGAACACATGATTTAAAATTAAGAAAGGGGTGTGTCAGGGTTGTATCCTTTCTCCATACCTATTAAATTTGTATGCTGAGCACATTATTCATGAAGCTGGACTCTGAAAAGATGTGTGGCATCAAGATTAGAGGAATTCATCAAAAACCTGCATTATGAAGATGACACAACCTTGCTTGCTTTAAGTGAGGAAGACTTATAAGAACTTGGTGTAGAAGATCAAAGAATATAGCCTTCAATATGGATTTCATTCATAGTGGGAGCACATATACTCCTGATTGAGACTTAATTCACATTTGTACCCACACAGTACTTACTTGCACATAAAACAAATAAAAACTCCTATACTCTCTGCTTGGAGTTGATTTCAATTCATAGCAGCCACATAGGACAGTAAAACTTTCTCATAGGATGACCAAGGCTTTATTCCTTTATGGAAGCAAACTGCCTCATCTTCTCTAGAGTAGCTGGTAAGTTTGAACCACCAACTCTTTGATTAATAATCACGTTCCTTAACCACAGCACCACCAGAATTTAAACTTTCTGGCAGTAGACACGTTAACAGGCAAGTAGGCTTTGTCCCTAAGATGGACAAAAAAAAAAAGATGGACATTAATAACCCAGGGAATATTTGTCCTTTGTGCTAGACTTATTTTATTCTAATATAATAGTTTCAAGATGCATCCATGTTATAGCATGTATCAGGATTTAATTTCTTTTTATGGATGAATAATAATTCCATTTTGTATATAAACGTTTTTTAAAAAAATTAATCTATTGATGGATACTTACATTATTGCTACCTTTTGCATTTTGTGGTTCATGCAACAATGAACATTGATATAAATGTCTTGAGCCCCTGCTGTCAAATGTCTCAGGTATATTCTTAGGAGTGGAATTCCTAGATCGTTTGGTAACCAATTCTGTGTAAATTTTTGAGAAACCACCACAGTTCCTTTTATATCCCAATCAATAATGCTTGAGAGTTTCAGATTTTTACATCTTTGTCAACTTTTTTCTCTTTCTTCTTTTCTGTTGCATCCATAGTGGATGTGTGAACATTTTCATGTCTCTTTATATGTATTAATACCCAAACTGCCCTCAGCAAATGTGTGCATATGTAATCATATTGAATATGTTATGTTGGAATGATACTGGTGGCCTGGTACTAAAGAGATGTGCTGCCTGAGGAAGATGGGCAGTTTCCTCCATGGGATTTACAGCTT